TTTACAGCTTCTTCCAGGTGGTTGCATTATTTCAAATGAGCACACCGCATAACATCCCGGATGATTGACAAATTCATCACCAGAAAAACATTAAAGACTCGGGAAGAGTTACAAAAAGAAGCGGACGAATTCCTCCTGAAAGTTCGGTCTTATTGGGATACATATGGCCCAGAAAACATTTATAATACTGATCAAAGTGGTTACCAATTGGAAATTAATTCAGGACGAATGTTAGCTGAAGAAGGTACTAAACAAGTCGCGTGCGTCGTACAATCGATAACTTCAACGACACATAGTTATACAGTACAACCTCTGATTCCTGCTGATGGAAAATTACTTTCACCTCTCTTCCTGGTTTTGAATGAACCTACTGGAACTTTCGGTCCAATAGTGGAGTAAAATCTCTTCAAACCTGCGAATGTGTTCATCACCGCTTTAGAATCGGGAAAACTCTCGTCACGTATGACAATATTTAAGACCTAACAGACATGATATGTTCTAAACAATAATTAGGATTATCATCTAGTACTTGATTTTTCAGAGGATTTCAAAACCTGGTTGAAAGAAGTCTTTTCCCAAACGTCGGTCCTAGAAGTCTACTGTTAATCGATTCCTGGAGCGGACGCTGTCCTCAAGTCGTGAAATAAATTACTCCTCCGGATAAAGAATTATTAACTATGTTAATACCAAAGGGGACTGGAAAAATTCAACCCCTTGACGTATATGGTTTTAGGATATGGAAGAATTATGTTCGTCATTTTTCGGATAGTGTCGTCCTAATGGACTATGATATTAATTTACATTTGCGGAACAATATCATAAAGTTACAGTCTTTAGTCCATAATCAATTATCATCACCAAGGTATCAAAATTTATTTCGTTATTCTTGGTTTCAGAGTGGTTACATTTCTAAAAAACCAGATGAATTCGAAAATCCTGTCGATTTTGCATTCAGGCAATTATCTCATCCGCACTGTGATATTGAAGGCTGTTCCAATATTGCAGTCTTCAGATGCTCATGGTGCAAAAAATCGCTTTGTTTGTTGCATTTTTTTTAAGAATATCATTTTTGTACGCATTACGTCCCCTAATACTATCTATACTGTAGATTGATCCCAACAGAAAGTATGCTGATTGAGAACATAATACTAGAAGCAATAAATGGTCTGAGCTTCTATAATAATATCAATGTATATTCTGAATTCCATCATTTGGAGATTACTACCATCATTGTTTCCTTTCCATATCGGATCTTCATTCAATCTTTACCATTTAGTTCGGACTATGGTACTGTGATACAAGTAGACGGATAATCAAAAGGTTGTAATCCATATAAAACTAGCAATGGACATTTTCATGAGTTCAAATTTCAATATTTCTTATCATTCTTTACTCTTTCAAATGAATTCTGTTTACTAATATAATTAAAAGTAACTCCCAGAAAGGTTATTTAGCCTCCAAGTGTTACTTCCAGAGACTCATCACTCATCTTTTTTATGTACCAAAAAATCGAAGACTTGTATATAATAATAAAAAGAAAAGTATTTTACTTTCAATTAATTTGGGGAAAAGAATCGCAGGATGTGCTTTGAATTGTCTCATGCTTTCGAACGAAATGTGTTTCGTAAAATTCTCATCTATATTTTTTCTCCCTTATTTAAAAAATTCTCCACCCCCCCCCCACAGGGTAGTTAACCTCCCCGACATTACTCCTGGATCCTGTCCCAATGGTTTCCCTCATCATTAGCCGTAAGCTTCATTTTGTACAGGAAAAAGTTTGAAATTTCGCAATTCACGAAAAATCTTTTTTTTTATTTTTAAATTTCGATTCAGAAAAAAACAAAACAGGTATTCTGTATTTTTTTCTACTTTTTCAAATGGAATTTACCCATGGGATTTCCATCAAAATTTCTTTTTCTATGAGAAAAATGAATTTTCACAAGGGTAGCTTACCCTTCATATTTCACCCCCTGGAGACTGTTCTAATTCGTATTTTCATCATTTCTTGTGACCTTCATGATACACTGCGAAAGAGTTGTTCAAAAAGCTTTTTTATGTGTGCAATCGAAAAATGACTCCGAGAGGTGGTCAACTTCAGACAGCACTTTCACCCCCTAAAACCCAATATGGGCAACTAAAAAAAAAATAGGTGTCCCTTAGTTTTGGGTCCCCTATAACATATTTAAATTTCATCGAAATCGGATGGGGACACCTGCGTAGTGTTCCTTGTAAATGCCGTTGGGACAAACGTACAAACCGTTACGTAGTCAAAGGACGACTGCCAGCGGCCCTGTGTTCACTCGGATACTAAATATCGTTGGAACGGGCTTGCAAGTCTTTTGTTAAGGAGATGGATTGCTTGGATAACTGATTATAGAGGACCAGAGTCTACGTTGAGAATAAGTGTCGTTGGGACAGATTCACAATCAGTTAGAGGAGATTGCTCACTTGCAGGGGCCCAGGGTTCACTCAGATACAAAGTATCGTTGGAACAGGCATGTGAATGAGTGAAGTTTTTCTGCAAGATAAGCCTCGCTGACTCTAAGTTGTTGAGTTTGTCCGTTGGAGATTTTAGGGCAACGAGAGGATTCCGCGGGTGTTTTCCACTATTGGGGTGTAGGAATCGAGGTTGTTGAGGGATGTAACGATTCACTAACACACGTGATTCAGTTAGACAAATCACAGTTTAATGAGACGTTTAAATATACATACAAAAGTAAAGAAAAGTAAGAGATATTGTGATCCACTAGGAGGTCAGTGTACGACTGGTGAGTTGAGACAGATGTCGCTCGCCTCAATTCTCAGGTAGAAATTCGTAAATGGAATACGAATCCGAAATATACGCGTGACAGCATTGGAGCGAGAGAGATAGCCTGATGGTTGTCGTTCAGCCGTCGATCATCTCTTGCTCGCTGGCCAGCGCGTGAGTGTGTGTGGATGTAGAGAGGCGCTACAGGGGGAATGCGTGATACGGTAGGATCTTCTCCGTTAGATCGCTTCGCAAGGAATGGATCTCTGAGGGTCCGGCTGCGGGCTTATATACCCGTTGGTTAGTGGTGGGGGGTTGTGACGTATGTGGTGGCGTGATGTGCGATGACGTCATCATGAGGTCATCGTTATGTAACCTCTCGGGACTTGGACATTTTCATGTTCAATGTGTAATGTTCCATTACAATATATCATTCCATGAAATCAGAGTCGTTTCTTTCAACCATCGTGGGACGTCGGATTTGTGACAAATTTCAAAATGATAAAAACTAAGATATAAATTCACTTTCAATCAATGTCAATGGATAGAACGCCTGTCCGTCCATCCATGTATGTGTTAATCTATCTGTCTGTACACCCGTCTATCTGTCTATTTTCTCGCTTGTGGCCTGCCTGTCAGTCTGTACGTCTATCTTTCGGTCTGCCCATCCATGTATCTATCAATTTGCTTGTCCGTCTATCTGGCTGTCTGTCCATCCGTGCATGTCGGTCTTCCTGTACGTCCATCTGTCTGTCTGCCCGTCCATCTGTCCGCATGCCCATCCATTTATCTGTTTGTCCGCCAGCTTCTTTATTTGCTTCTCTGTTCGTCTGTCCGTCTGTTTGCCTGTTTGTGTGTTGGACCATCTCTCTCCCTGTTTATCCATCTTGCAAAGGTACATTACATTACCTGAAATCGTAATGTAATGTACCGCAATATTAGGCGTAATTTCCGCCTTTGATATTAACCACTGAAAATTATTCTTTAAACGTAATTCAAGTTTCAATTTTTCCATACGCAACTCAATTCTTAGCATTCCTATCCTTGCATTTCCTCAATTATACACCGGTTTCAATGCATTCTAACCGTTAAATACAATATTCTATTCGAAAATCGCAAAATATGAACATTTAGTTAGAACCAACTACACACTAGCTTTTGTAAAACACACTAGCTTTTGTTTCAGCTACGGATCCCCTTACACTTTTAGTTGAGCCTTTTTTCTGTCCCTGCCTATCAGTTACGGGGTGGGTACGACCATACAAAGTGTGCTTATCCACACAAAGTCAATGAAAAAGTGTCAATACGAGTGGTCCTTGGAAAAACATTGTTCAGAAAATGATTAGGACCAACGTACTTGGCGCCGTTTTTTGAAAGACTCATTACGGAGAGTTGGCGCTTTATGTTGACACCATGGTCGAATGAATCTTCTCCATGCTCTTAGGCCGCGAATGCCGGTAACTACGTAGCGATCACTGCCGTAATTAATTCAATTTCTACTCATAAAAATGAGAATATTTGAAAATAGAACAGATTAAGCTCGAGGCTTTAACTAAAACTATCCAACAATTCCAGCCAACACAATGACACAATTGACTATCAAAAGATTTGAATACCTAACAAGGTGTAGTATGCTTCAAAGCAATTTCTGAGTCCCAAAGTTGATGTCAAACAATAGACTCCTAAGTAAAGATCCGCATTAAGATCAAAAAGCGCGCCAAGTACATTGGTCCTGACAATTTTCTGAACATTTTTTTTAAAGAACCTTTCGTATTGAGACTTTTTTATTGACTTTGTGTGGATAACCACACTTTTTATGGTCGTACCCACCCCGTAACTCATAGGAATAGACAATATTGAGTTGGCATTGATGAGTTTAAACTTATAAAACTGAAGCAACAATACAGTCAACTGTAAAAAAAAGGTGAAATTGTGTCTAGATATTATGAAATGTTCTCTCGTTTTTTAAAATAATAAGTTCAACTTCATGAATTTGGCGCTGTTCCTTATTTCTGCACTTTTTTCAATTTCCCAGAAAGAGCTGTCCATAAATAAGTACTCGTGCATTTTTCCACAACAATGCATTGAAATAGTTCCTCGCAATTTTTTTCTGAGAAACTATACAATTTTTTTTTTGGTTTTTGACATTGACACTAACTAAATTTTGGAACTTTTCTAATTATATTTATATGTAACTGAAAGTAATTTGATCACCATATGACACTATATGCAGAATGGTTATATTACATACCCCAATAAACTGCCTAACTGCAGAAAATTAATTATCAAAAAAGGCTTCAAGTATTTTTTATTACACAGCTGCATTATGTCACTCCAGGTTCCTTTCATCCTATCTATATTCGTCTTTCGTATCTCCTGATCACATGATGTTATTGACTGCAGGCTCTTTATCTATTAAGATCAAAAAGACCGAAAAATAAGTGGTTAGAGTAATCGGAAAAGACATTTTTCGTCACTGAGGCCCGATAAACGGAGGTTACCGGGACTCCGTTGGGAGGGGGTAAATGGCGTTTAGACCATAGTTCTAGAATCGGTGTTCCAAGGATGGTAAGACGAGGACCAGGTATGGTAAGTCTCACTTACCACTCCAAGGACCGATAAAGCGCGACGTGAAGTGAGCTGATCGAATCGTCACTTGGGCGTGCGCTTTGTGTTCAGGAAAATGTGTATAGTCTAGTGAGATTTACAGCACCCTTAGCGGCCTTCTCTGTAACCTAACCCGCCGGTAATAAAAGTAGCAGTCTTCACATTGTTGTTGTGCGTCGTTGAACATCGGATGACTGTTCAGGAGAAAATTGTGACTAAATTCGAGAAAAATTCAATAAAATGGAGAATTTTATTGTCCCAGATAGTGCGATATGCGATATGCGATCAGAGAGTACTGTCTCATGACGTTTAGTGATGCGGACATTGAGAGCTCAACATCCAGCATGTCAGTGAATGCAAACTGTCTCAATGAGTCTGGTGCTGACGAATGGACCATTCCCCAAGGTGTTCTGGATCATACTAGGAAGGCTCAATCTATCCTCATACCATCAGCATCAAAACCAATTTATGATCGAGCATATCACAATTTTCAGAATTTTCTGAAGGAAAACCGTATCATTCCTTGTCCTTGATATCTCTTCTTATTTTTTAATTTCGATATAATTTTTTTTTGCAAGTGTAAAATTTTCATCACCCACCCCATGCTTTTGGGTATTCCAACAGAATTTACTAGCTATTAATTTTTATATGAAGTCATAACGATTTCAGTTGTTTAATATTTTTTTCTGTTTTTCTTCATTTTTTCAGTGGCGGGGCCTAGCCCCCCCCAACCCCCCCAAACGGGCGACCACACCCCCCTGGACCCCCTACCGCACCCTCTCCCACCCCCCCCCTCATCGGGCCTTCGTGACGAAAAATAGCATATGTAATTCGGGCGATAGCGTTGAGCACGTGAGTCGTGTAAAGTTTGCGAGCCTCGTCTCCGACTTACCACGCCTCGTGCTGCAAATTTTACACGACTCACGAACTAACGCTATCGCCGTCATGACATAATGTACTATTTCGTTAGTTGAACAATTTTATGAAACTTTATCATTTAGTGATATTTCTTATTCTGTCAAAAAAACCAAACTGCCACGTCACTTATAAATTGATGAAATTAGACATGACAAGTAATTAAGTTTTCATTCGACATCTGGGAAATACTGAACAATCTCCATCACTTTGCCGGTTTTACACATAAGCCCTGCGAACATCATCCTATAGCTAATAAGGTATGCATAAAATATGTATAGAGTGAACGTCATCATTGCACAATTGCATGAATCCCCCACTTTTTAGACATATCGTGTTCTTCAAAAGTATATCTACACTTACGGCTCGAGTCATTAAGTATGCCCACAAACAAGAAATCCTCAAGATTTTTGTTTTATATTTAAATTATTCATATGAATTGTAGAGAAGAAGAATCTCATTCTTTTTCAACTTTTCAACTCATAGCATGAATAAACAGTTTTTCAACTGACTAGGTTGAAAAAACTCGTGGCAATTATAGATATTGTTACCAATATCAAACTCTTGAAGGTGTTACGAATCAGTTCCCGGGTTCTTTTAAGCTGGAGATAATTCTCTTGAAAATGGATCGATACTGGTATTCGGTGGAGCAATTGTTAGAAATGAAAGTGTTTATTTAGTCAAACTAGTTCATAATTGTGAAATTATATTAGTTGGCCTGGCAGTGGTCAGTAAAAAAAACAATGATCAAATATTGCTTGTGAAAGTTTCTATCTGCAATGGAGATCATCTCCAGGAAAACAACTCAATCTTTATTTATTTCCTGCATAACAAACCTCATTTTTAATTTCAACACCCTCTCAGTACATGTTAAATACAAAAAATAGCTATGCAAGTCATAACTCACAAATTAAAAGTGAAACATCATGAAGTAAAATATCGTTGGAAACGCTGTCCACAACATAAAAACCCCGTGAAAAAAATAACGTGCCGACGACTCAACCATCGACTGTTGCACAATTAACACCGATACAAAAATAAAGCACAAATAAGGATTTTTCAGATTAATAAGCACAACTCGACAACAAAATGCTGTGTAAACAATCCTAGTAATAATGTCAACCATTCACGTCACACTGTCTACCCCCCATCAATCTAAACCTCCCTAGTCACTCCCTAGGAGAATAAAAGTACCCCAGGACTCAATGAAACCCGGTCAACATTCAAAACCCGAAAATTCAAACAGCTGTGATGAGATGACTATCAACCCCACTCATACCGTCTTCTATCCTGAAATTGACACTATTAATATTTTTTTATCTGAATCACCTCCAGCAGGGTTCCCCTCTTGCGATGTTCTTCTCGTCCCAAGTTCTTAACTTTTCCGTAATCGATCACAGAATCCTCACCCCAGACATGTTTCGTCAGAGCTGTATGCTTTGATGGTGACAGACAAATGTTGCATCGACGTTCCTTCAATCTAACCTTAAGAGACCTCTTTGCCTGACCTACATACACCCTCTCGCAGTCGTGACATAGGATGCAGTATATCGAATTCACTACATCCAAAGTATCACCTGGATCTTTTCATGTCCCCAGCAGACCCCCACTTTTATTGTTGTTACTAGATATCAGCAAAAAATTTAATTTCTTTGACAGCCTCACCAAGCTCTGACTCAAACCCACCGGATATGACCTCCGCCGGATATACCCTCCTCTATATCATCAACTCTCCTACGACCTACACATTCACCTCACGCTAGGATAATGCTCCAATCCATCCAGTAAGAGATGAAAGATTCGGCATAGTTATTCATTAGCGAAGTTGTCCTGATCAACTCCAAATGATCAACTCCATTCAGATATTTGTGTTCACCCATTCGCCATCCTCTGGCTACTAATATAAATAATGTCCCTCTCATCTCAAAGACAGGATATTGCGAAAAATAATTGAGAAAACAGCCGCTTCAAGGTGGTTTGCGATACCAATTTGTGATGATAGTATTGCCCTGATGTATGAGCAGCACATCCAGGAACAATATTTCGTTGTTGACCTCTATTTCACGAGTGAACCTAAACCTCTTATGGTGGCTATTGAACACAGCAACCACATGTTGCACCTCATCCTCAGGGACCGCCATAATAATGTCGTCAACATATCGCTTATATAACGGTGGTAAAAATCCCAACCTCTGGAGACAGCTCCACTCCAGTGTTGCACATGGACGCTGATTTTGTCAACAATGGGTGAAGTAAATGGACCTCAATTCATCGTTCAATTTCTACCTCTGCAGCAACTCGCTTTGATGGTGCTTGGATCATTCAAATCGGTGTTTCCTCGTGTTAGAATGAATTCATGTTTCGCATTCACAATGATCCTTCCATAATCCTCAGCACAACCCAACAACAGACTCAATGGTGCCGAGATGTCAAAATAGCCATTAGCATCGATAATGGTTAATTCGTCATATTCAAAAATCCGACCTGCGTTTTCTAGAAGAGCAGCTTGACTCGGAGTTTGTGAGCCATAATTCTTCATTAGCGTTGTAATATCAACATTTTTGATCCTATCAATCACAATGGCATTCAATTCATAGCGAATTTCCTCGAATAAGTGGAGAATGGCACAATTCACCGATCTTGTGTGCGTAACAGTTGTGATCAGCGTTAGTCAAGCGTTCGTGTATATGCAGTGAACATATACTCGGCAATAAATATAAGTCTTAATGCTGCACGGCAATGCGAATTTCATCATTGTTATTGAAAATCGCCGATGCGAACGGCTGATGTACATGAATCTCATAGTGGGCGACAGATTCATCCAAGACGATGAATTTCAGGATCTCTTCTATGGTTTATTGAATTTCCAGGATCTCTTCCATGGCTTATGATGGTAGATGATGATGCAATAACAGAGGAATCTATGGATTCTCCTTTTCGCTCTCTTCTTTTTTTTTCTTTTCCTTTGGAGTTGCAGACCCAAGCTCTTGAGAAATTTTAGGTTCCGCTTTGAGATGTCGTCAATGACTGCTCGGAATTGCTAATGGTGATTTGCTTTTATAAGAAGCTCCAGTCGTCTTATTGAAAACAGTACCTATATTAGGCCTTGTTGTGTAATCTTATTGGTATAACCTCTCCTCTGAAAATAACTAATTTACTTTCTTGGTCAACAATTTTCACTTGGAGATGACCTATTACCTGAATGGCGATCAGAAGATAAGTGATGTTCAATGGCACTTCAATAATCTTATATCCCAGTGGAACAGTCGAAAAGAATTCATGCACAGTAGGTACTCGTTTTTCAGTTATGTATACTCCAGTGGTGATATTACAGTAAACTCTCAGTGAATTGATCGGAAGGATTGTCACTGGTAAATCAGATTCGTGACTGATATGAGGTGGGAGAATCCCACGTGTCAATCCCACTAACCGTCTCTTGAAAATAGATATAATACATAATGAAAAAATTTCATAGTAAAATCTAACGAAACTATAGAAAATTCTATTGAAAATTCTATTGATTTTTGACTGATTTTATTTTAAAAAATGCGCTGCGAAATAAAGAAAATGTTCAATAGACCGTTTTTTATAGGAAAAATCAGTAGAACTTCATCTTTCTATAAAACTTTTTGTATTGACACATTTTCTATAGGAATCCTCAAATTGAAAAAACGAAACAAAAAATTGTACAAAATTCGAACGGTAGAATTTCGATAGAACAATAATGGGAAAATTTAATACTTTTCTATTTAAATGCCAATTCAAATACTATATAATCGGTCATTTAATAAATAGCAGTACTGAAAATATTAAATATCAATTGTTATGTCCAGAGAAGGATTTTAGAATTGTCTTTGGAATTTTTAATTGAGTCCAGGTGATGAAATGCACTCAATTTAATTTACAATTGTGGATTTGGTTCTTGATTACATGAAATTATAATATAACTTATAATTATAATCTTACATAAAATTTATTCTAGTCTTGAATTTCTAGCATAAAATTTTTGGACATTACAGCCCCCGCTCAAAATTGTTCCCCATTGCTTTTTGGAGGCAATTTTAAGGAGTTGGCGTTTTAAATTTTATGTGTAGTATCGATTGAGTTATTTTAGCTGGATAATCGTGCACCGGGCGGTGGCCGTGAGCGGCTGGGTGCTGACGATGACATTCTTGTGAGTTCGGATTACATTGTATTCCCGATTCACCTGTCAGTTTCCCTCACACGCTCGGTAACTTGTGAAGTGTTTTGGAGTAATTTCATTTTGTGCCAGGGATTTTATTTGCTACGGTAAGTGTTTTGGGATATTTTATTGTCTATTTTCTATTTTGTTTTTGGCACATATGCAGTGGTTTATTTTGTTGGGTTCACTGCATTGTGTGCAGGCTCTCGCGGTTTTCTCTTTTTTTTTGTATTCATTTTAATTTCATATTTCCCACGGTGGTTTGGGGGGGGGCATGTGTGTGTTGAGAGGCTGGTGCCCGTGCGAATGTCGCACAAAGAGGAACAGCCGATTGAAACCCTCCACGCTCTTATGCATCGGAGATGTATTCTTCTCCATTCCTCTTTGTGCGGCATTCGCACCGAGAGGAGTGGAGGATTAACTCGGTATGGTTCCTCGTAGTCATGCACGGGG